AGACTCGGCACACCACTTCTGAAAGGTTGCCGACTCCTGAAATAGAACATGGAACTCATAATTGGCAGCCATGCACAAGGATAACATAAAGCAATTTTTTGTGGTAGAGGGAAGTATTTTTTCCCCCTTCAGACTTATAAATGTATGTATAGGTGGCCATCCTCTGCTCTGGTTACCTGAAGCATACATTAAACTACAGAATTATGGTAGAGTGATAGCAAAGCCATAGTTCAGGTTGTATACCAGAGAATAACTGGAAAAGATTGGAAATATGCTAAATATTTTATGCCAGAAAAAACATACAAAATAGAGTGTTCAGGGACTTAATTTTCTGTGCAATTGGAATTTTTAGGGATGTGATGTATTTAAAATATTTTGAAATTAAAAATGGTTGTTTTTTGATATAGGATCCCTAATGTATCACTTTTATATACATGGAAATTCTACAGTAAACCTCTGATGTAGATTACTATATATCTATAGTTTACAAAAATACCAATTTTATGTTTTTCTCTGTTGTAATTTTTAAGAATAATGTTCTTTGAAAGTGTGGCATTAAAGGTATGATGATTTTATTTTGCTTAGGAAGCAACCCATGTTAACATAGTGCTACGTGTAGGGGTTTACATGATGAACTATTGACTGCATAGAATTCAGAGGATGCAATATTTACAACTTCTGGCACACACAATAGAGACAAACGGAGAGAAACTCTTTCCCCCCCACTCCTTGACATTCCTCTTTCCAGCTTCCCAATCCCCAGTTGTACCAGATGCCCAATCCTTTCCCTCTCCTGCCCTAAGCTCTCTAGCCCCCTGCATCCTTCTCCTTTCTTCCAACCTCTATTCTCCCCAGCTTCCTTTTGGTCCCAATCCTCCACACTCCGCTCCCAGCTCTCCTGCTGCTCCCAGCCCTCCTTGCTCCCAGGGACTCCTCTTCTGCTTTCAAACTCCCCCCTCTCCTCCCTAACCTTGGGGAGCTATCTACCAAGGTACACCAATACTGTATAAAAAGAATTAGTAAATTAATACAAATAAAAACTTCATTTTGTGACATTTAAGTTTGTACCCTGCCAACCCAAAACCTTAAAAGCGTGAAAATCAGAAGTTAAGGAAAAAGTCACTGGCATTCTTTGTCATTTGCACATTGCCAGCAACACACCTCATCAGGCTTTTGCTTCCATCTCTTATTATTCCTGGAGGCATTCTGCGCCAAAAAATTAAAAATTTTGCACACAATATTTTAAAATTCTGCAAATTTTATTTGTCAAAATAACATCACATAATCACACCGGTTTCAATTATTTTGGTAATTTATTTCAAAATATCTGTAAACAATTATGTCTGCGGGGCCCTCCCTTGGTCAGAAATCCACACCCCTAGCCCAGCCGTGGGGGCCCCCCTTGTCCAAATACCTGCACCTCCTCCCTCCCAGACCCCAGCTGTGGCCCTCCCAGCCCAGACCCCCCTCCCCTCCCTGAGCCCAGGGATCCAGAGGGAGAAACAGCCTGATGCTTGGTCCCAGGCTTTCCCTCAGGGCATGCTGGGAACTGCAGCTGTCAGGAACCCACTAGTTCCCTCCCCCATCAGTGTCTATATGCGAGCTGGGCTCTGCTGGGTCCAGTGGCCCCTAGTGGTGGCCAGCAGCACTGCAGCCCATTTCTGTGGGAGAAAGGAAATTCTGTGTGCACAATGAAAACAGGAGTACTTGTGGCACCTTAGAGACTAACAAATTTATTTCAGCATAAGCTTTCGTGAGCTACAGCTCACTTCTTCAGATGCATAGAGTGGAACACACAGACAGAAGATATTTATACATACAGAGAACATGAAAAGGTGGAAGTACGCATACCAATTGTAAGAAGCCAATCAATTGAGATGAGCTATCAGTAGCAGCAGAAGAAAAAACTTTGAAGTGATAATCGAGATGACCCATAAAAGGTGTGAGGAGAACTTAACATGGGGGGAAAAATTCAATTAGTGTAATGACCCAACCATTCCCAGTCTCTGTTTAGACCTAAGTTAATTGTGTCTAATTTGCATATTAATTCAAGTTCAGCAGTCTCTCTTTGGAGTCTGTTTTTGAAGTTTTTTTGTTGCAAAATTGACACCTTCAAGTCTGTCACTGAGTGATTACACTGCTCTACAGCCAAAATGCTTCTGAAATAAATGTAGTCAAACTTTACTAATTCTGGGTTACTGAGAATGAAAATGATGCTTAAAATTGTTGATTGGCTCTAGTTTTCAAGATACGCTATTGGGTCAGTATATACGACCCTTGACTTGGGAATGGCGGAGGATAAGTGAGTTATAAAGGGAAGGGATCTCAATTTAAACCAGAAATGACTAAAATGCATCTTTGACTGGATCTATGAATAAATCTATGACTGGGTTTGGACAGTACTTGCTTTTTAGGCAAAACAATGAATGATGCAATCTGAAGCTGGTATTGTGTCATACATGGTATGAATTGCATCATGTTATTCCTAGAAGTCATGGATGATGCAATCATAACGAAGCTTACATCACTCTGCTGAACAAATTGCCCTATATCAGCTCTAGAAATCATACAGTGTCGTGCTCTCTTATTTGTCAGTGTTTGATTTTGCAAAGGGACACATTTCAGTTTAGCCAAAGTGAGCAGAGATGCC